GTTGGGCAATCTACTTCCATAGAGATACCACCTTGGAAACCCAAGGAGGGGTTGCTATGAGTCGAGACTGACTCCACAGCAGTGAGTTTATTTTTTTGTTGTTGTTTTTGATTTCTCATAAATACCCACTCCACTCATTTCTTTTTCTTTTTCTTTTCTTTTTTTCCAATTCCTGCGTCAGTATACACTGTTTAAATTACTGGATTTAAATATTTAAATACATATTAAATATACATATATATTGATAGTGACTGTTGAAATCACTAATTTATGGTTCCTATGTTTTCAAATATTTCTTCGAAATTTTTCCCATTTTCTCCTTCAAGTGAATTTGAGAATAACTTGTCAGTTTCCAATCTTTAATTCCACTGAGATTTTGATTTGGATGATATTGAATGTATTTGAAGAGAACTGATGTTATTAAAGGGGTTCTGGTGGTGCAATGGCTAAGGCATTTGGCTGTTAACCAAAAGTTCGGCAGTTCGGGCCTACCAGCTGCCCCAGGGAGAAAGACAAGGAAGTCTGCTTCTGTAAAGATTGACAGGCTTGGAAAGCCTATGAGGTCCCTATGGGTAGGAATCTGCTCGATGTCAGTGGGTAGGTAATGTTAAAATATGGAGACTTCAAAACTCATCATACTGTACAATTTTAAATGGATGGGTTTTAGTGTATAAAAATTGAACTTCAAAAAGCTCTTAAAACATTTTGAAATACCCTTTCCAAGGTCATTGCGGTTATCTATTTGTTGTGGTATCTTTTAGCTAAGTTTTAAAGTTTTCTTCTTATTGTTCTTGCACATATTTTCATTTCCATTGAGATTAGGGTCAATTTTTCATGGCTTTATAGCTGGATTTTACTACTATAAAAATCAAAACCAAACCCATGGTCATGGATTTGATTCTGACTCATAGCAACCTTTTATTGTTGGTATAGGGGAGAGAATTTTAAATAAATATTAATCTTTTATCTTGTCAGTGATACTTCTGTTGTTATGCCCCTGAGATTTCCGTTATTATTCATTAAAACAATTAGTGTTACCTTGACTACCACATGCAAAATATTAAATATTTCTGGAAGACAATATTAAATGAAAGCCATAATTAAAAAATAATCAACTTTTATAAATTTTTGTACTTACACAGAAGTAGTTGCTTGGGTAATTAGCTGGAAAGTGACGCCATCAATCAAGAAGTGGTATGTGGGATAAAGAGCAGGATTGGGGTGAATACAAAGAGTTCGATTTTGTGCGTGCTGAAATTCAAGTGCTCATAGAGCATAAGGTGGAGATGACCGTGGGGATGATGGGAATAAGAATTGGCAGCTGTGGATAAAAGTCTAGGCTGAAGATAAAGATAGAGAGGTCAACAGAATGTATGAGACAATTAAAATGATGAATTTAGATGCCATCACTTAAAAGGGAAATAAGGAAACAAGTGTACCCAGGTTGAAAACCTCGTCCATGCCATAGGTGAAACTAAGAGCATAAAAAATAGTGGTTTTCTGAGGTGAAAAAGAATCAGAAGAAATCACAGAATCAGAAAGTCTGGGCTGTTAGGCTTAGCAACTAACTCCCTCTGTGACTTGGTAAGTTAGCAAATTCCGTATGTGTCTGTAAAGCAGTGAGAATATTGTCTCTCCTCCCTTATAATTTTCATGAGGGTAGAATAAGAACACAGAGGTAAACACTTTTTCTAAAATCAGAAGGGAGGTATTAAAAACTGACGTTTGCCAGCCTCCAGCTTCCCTCCATTTCTGGAGGGAATACTTTTTAAGGTCCCAGAGAATTACATAATACTTATGTAAATTTTAAAAAATAAAATACTGAGGAGAAGGGCATAGAAAAGTCCCTTTAGAGTTAGGCCAGGTCCTAAAAGACAATGTAGAAATGAAAATAAATCAGGAAAAAACTAGTTAAGAGAGAAAATGATGTGAAAATGTGAGCAAGTGTAGGTAAGAAGGAAATATTTCTATTCTACAATGAAAGTCTGGTGTAGCAGAGGAAGGCAGGGAGGTTGAGATATTTGCATTTTCTTCAGTATTGACCTAAGAGTAGTAGTAGTAGTTGTTGTTGTTGTTGTTATGTGCCATTGAGTCAGACCTGACTCATAGCGACCCCTCCTTGGGTTTCCGAGGCAGTTTCACTACGGAAGTAGATTGCCACATCTTCCTTCCAAGGAGTGGCCGGTGGGTTTGAACCGCCAGCCTTCTGGTTAGCAGTCAAGTGCCTTAGGCACTATGCTACCAAAGCTCTTAAGGGTAGTATGGAGCACTATTTAAAATGATATCACAATCAAAGCAGAATTTGGTTTAGAAGACTAACCGCTATGATAAATCAATGGTATAGCAACAAAAGGCATGAAGATAATTTAAAATAGCAGTCCTTTTTTATTTTTTCCATTCAACAATTTATACACATTTTGTTTCATAACATTGGTTGGAATCCCTTCAATGTAACAGCACTCTTTCCACTTCCTGGGTGCCTGGCTTCCATTTGTCATTTCCATCCCCTTCCTGCCTTCTGAGCTTTTTCTTTGTTTTGGTGGGGGTTGCAAATGCTGCTCTCTGTCTCTTATGGAGGGTTGTACTGAAGAGTACATTCCTCCCTGTACTGTTATTATTCACTTTTTACCTCTGTCTATTGCTGGGCTGAAAGTTGAACCCTGGGAGAGGGGAGGTGGGTTCAGTTCCAGGCTTGAAGTGAGTCTAAGGGCCACAGTTTCAAGGGTTCCACCAGTCCCTATCATATCAATAAGTCTATTCTTTTTTCATTATTTTGAATTTTGTTCTACATTTTTTTCCCACTCTGTCCAGGACCTTCTATTATGATCCTGATCAAAGCAGTCAATAGTTGTAGCCGGGCACCATGTAGTTCTTCTGGTCTCAGGTTAGTAGAAGCTCTGGTTTGTGTGGTAATTCATTAGTCCTTTAGACTAATTATTTCCTTAAGGCTTTGATTTTCTTCACTGCTCTTTGCTCCAGACAGGGAGTAATCAATAGTTCCATTTTAGATGGCTGTTGGCAAGCATTTTTTATTTTTTTAATTGTGATTTGGGTGAAGGTTTACAGAGCAAATTTACTTTCCATACAGCGGTTAACATATACTTTGTCTCATGACATTGACCACAGTTTACCACAATGCAACAGCTCCCCTCCCACCTCCTCCTCATAGTTACCTCTTCCCTGAGTCCATCCCTCCATGGACTCCTGCCCCCTGAGCTGTCTCCCTGTGCATAAGTAACCCTTCTTTCTCCCATTATTGTTCTCTCCAGGGAGTGTATATCTACCTGAGGTAAATGTTCAACTCATATGCCTATCTTTTGTTTGGCTGGAAACCACAGGTGTGGGTTCAATTCCAGATCTGAAGGGCAGCTAGGGGCCATAATCTCAGTGGTTCCACCAGGCTCTATTGGACCAGCAAACCTGGTCCCCCCCCCCTTTTTTTTTCTCCAAATGATTTTGAATTTTGTTCCACATTGTTCTCCCTCTCTATCAAGAATCTCCTACATAGATACCCTTCCAAGTGGATGACAGTGGTAGCCAGGCACCATCTAGTTCTTCTGGTCTCATAGTCATATAGGCTGCAGATCGGATGGTGTACCAGTCGCTAGGACTAATTTTTTACATTAATTTTGGTTTTCTTCTTTCTTCTTTGCTCTGGACGAGGAGAGACCCATCGTTGCATCTAGATGGCAGCTTGCTAGCTTTTAAGATCCCAGTTGCTACTCGCCAAAGTAGGAGGTGGAACAATGTTTTGTATAGTATGTTATGCCAATTGAGCTTGATGTCCCCTGCAACTATGGTCCCAAGCCCGCAGGTGTTCACAAGCTTTTAAGGTCCCAGTCTTTACTCATTAAAGTAGGATGTAGAACACTGTCTTCATGGATTATATTAGGCCAATTTACATAGCTATCTCCCAAGACTGTGATCCTTAGTCCCTAAGCCCAGTGATTCATGCCATCAAGGTATTTGGTTCTGGTTAAGAAATTTTCAAAGCTTTTCTCCCATATGCTCTACTGTATCTTTGGATGTATTTGTAGCTCATACAAATACATATGTAAAAATATCCTCTGTCAAATCTATATATACTCATAGGTGTACTACCATTCACCCTACCATATAATTCAGCTTGCATGTCTACCTATATATCTATTCATTGATTATTGTTTGCTATTACTATTATTGCAGGATTGTGTATGTGATAGTATTTACCTCTATTGTCTTTTATCCTTGTGTATCTCCTAATTCTTCTTTGCTGCCTTCCCTTTTTGTATAGTGCCTTTCCGTTCACCCAGGTTAATATGTGTCTACTCTCTAGTTAGTGATTTACCTACCCCTCCCCTCCCATCCCTGGTAAATATCAAAGAATGTTTCTTTCTGTGTGTAATCCTTTTCAAGACTTTTTCTAAATCATTATTTGGTCTTAGACAACACTTGTCCTTTTGTGACTGACTTATTTCACTTGGCATAATGTCCTCTACAACACAAGGCACTTCCCAGATTCTTCATTTTCTTTAACACCGTGTAGTGTGCCGTTGTGTGTGTACCACTGTTTGTTTATCCATTCATCCAATGATGGCCACTTAGGTTGTTTCCATATTTTTGCTTTTGTGAATAATGATGCTACAAACATGGGTGTGTATGCATCTGTTTGTGTCAGCGCTCTTATTCCTCTAGGATATATACCTAGTAGTGGGATTGCTGGATCATATGGTATTTCTCTTTCCAACTTTTTAAGGATGTGCCGTACCATAAAACAATAGTTCTTAAATTACAGTGAGAACACAGAGAGAAAGGTGTAGCCAGAAGGTAATCAAGACCCTGACCCCTTCCCTAGTTCAACTACACAATTCTACTTCATCTCTTTTACATATTGGAGAATTATGTAGTATTTTATTATTATAACAGATATTTCCATGATGAAGGAAGAAAAAAAGTCTGAAATAATACCCTGATTTTAATATCAATATATCCACCAAATAAAATAGTGTAAAAATTCCAAATCATAGAAATGAGAGAACTTTTCTCTTAAAGAAGACCCTTCTGAGAGCTGCCTTCATGTCTCTGTTCCTCAGACTGTAGATGAAGGGGTTCAGCATGGGGGTCACCACAGTGTACATCATGGCCATGGCAGTCTCCTTAACAGTAGAATTATTAGTTGATGGACATAAGTAGAGACCGATAACCGTCCCATAGAGCAGTGACACCACAGAGAGGTGGGAGCCACAGGTGGAGAAAGCCTTACGGATCCCCCTGGCAGAAGGCACCTTGAGGATGGAGGCAACGATTCGAACATAGGACATGATGATGAGTAAGAATGGGATGATGAGAATGAGCCCTCCCGTGATAAATATCACCAACTCATTAACTCGAGTGTCAGAGCAGGCCAGCTTCAGCAGCGCAGACATATCACAGAAAAAGTGGGGGATCACATTGTCTGCACAAAAATGCAACCTGGCCATGAGCAGGGTGTGCAGCATGCCATGGAATGTGGTCAGCACGCAGGAAATTGCCACAAGGATGACACAGAGCTGGGAGTTCATGATGGTGGTGTAGTGCAAGGGGAAACAGATGGCCACATAGCGGTCATATGCCATGGCAACAAGGAGAAAGCTCTCCAGGTCACCAAAAAACAGAAAAAAGTACATCTGGGCCAGGCAGCCTGCATAGGGGATGGATGGGACGTGACTCTGCATGTTCTGCAGAAATTTGGGAATGGTCACAGAAGAGAAGCAGAGGTCAGAGAAGGACAAGTTACTTAGAAACAAATACATGGGTGTGTGGAGGTGGGAGTCCAGTTGAATGAGAATGATAATGGTGAGGTTGCCCAGGAGAGTGGTAACATACATGGCCAGCAACAGAGCATAGAACAGGTTTTGCTGCTCTGGATCAATGGACAGGCCCAAGAGGATGAACTCAGAGATGATGGTTTGATTCTTTCCTGACATGTTCTGCTGCTAATAGCTTTATGAAGAAATAACAGTGTTCATTAAAAACCTGAATTAAAAAATTAGTACATTTCTGTGATATATAGTCTTTCTAGATGGTCTGTAAAAATACCTAATTTTTCCTTCACCAGAACAATGACAATTTCTATGCTCTGAATCTCTATAATCAGAATATCTATACTCAAAATATCAATACTCAAAAATGACATTTTTTCACTTTCCTTTAATATATAACAATATCCCCTCCTTCCAAAATCATTCACATGTCTTAGCTTCTGAGACACACAATGGACTGGTTTTCCTGCTACTTGCCTGGCCATTCATTCTGCTCAATGATTGTCATTGGTTTCTGTTCTGTCATACATGTCATACATGCTGATATTATCAGGGTTATTTCATAAACATGGGTCTCTTATACCTACACCCAATGAAAATGTCATTTACTCGTATGGCACAAATTACCACCCAATCCTCAGAACTGTATGCCCAATTGCTTAATGATTGTCTTCCTTTGGATATATCTGAAGCCCAACAGACCCCAAACATAACTCATGGCCCCAACCTGCCCATCTCTCAATCTGCTTCTCCTCCGATCTCCCATATCTCAGTAAAAGATATCAGGAGTGACTGGAACGTTTTCTTTCACTCTTTCCTTTCTCTCACCATCAACAACCAATCTATCATCAAGCCCTACAGATTCTACCACTTAATTCTCTATCTAACCTATCCTCTCTTCATCCCAATTCCTAAAATACTAGCCCAGATAAACATCATTTGTTGTCTTTTTGAGACAATCCCTGCAAAAACATCTCCCAACGCCCCGATCACTCTCCTCCAACTCCTTCATTCACACTGCAACATTCTAAGATGGGAATCTGATGATCTCTCTCCTGCTTAAACACTTTAGTGGCTTCCCATTGCTCTTAAGATAAAGGCAGAATTCTTTTCAAAGACACAAAAGGTGCTTCACAACCTGACCCTTGCCTACTTCCACAGCCTCACCTAGCCACAAGTGATACTTGCATTCCACTCGCCAGCAATGCTGGACTTAAAATGCTTCACTTCTTGTCTCCAGCCGTTCACACTTGCTGTTCCTATTGCCTAACACCCTCCTCCTTATGCTCCCCCTTCACTTAGCTTAACCTTACTTAGCCTTTTATTATATTACAGGTCACTTGCTCACCTAAAGCTTCTGTCTCCCCGAATAGGTCAGAGCCCATTGCTATGTTTCCACAGCATCCTGCACCTGTGCCCACCTTACTCAGTGCACTTGCGCTTGCTATAGCTTTTCCCTACCAGATTGTAAACTCCATGTGGGAAAGGCCATGTCTGCCTTCTTGGCTTCTATAACACCAGCACCTGGCATGGTGCCTGGCATGTAGCCAATGTTTCATAAATATTTATTGACTGTTGTTTAGGTGTGACATGCATTGCTCCAACTTTAAAGGCATCAAATATTCTTCTTAAGTTAGAATAACTACCCCTACTAAATTCTGCCAGAGCAAGTACTTACTAGCTCTGACAATTTGGCACTAAATTTTGGCATTCTATTGCAGACTTCATGGAAGTTATTTAATATGCATGAAAAATGTTAGGGAACCTCAGATAAATTGCTATTGCACAATACAAATGACTCAGTCTAGATATCCTTATGTTTAAATCTACATGATGTCATTTTTATTATTCTGAAGAGAAGTCTAATGGGAAATTTCAGAAATTATGGGAGAAACAGAAAGATTAATTTCTACTCTGAAGCCCTTGCTTGAGTTCTTCTCCAGATAGCCACACCTCAGTATGCTCTAGAACTGATGAAAAGTGCAAAGAAGAGTATTAAGGGATATGGGAAACTCTTCACTGAAAAGACAATCCTGAGTCAACTGCTGGGCTTTTCACCCTGTTGATGCTGTTTAATTCAGCAACATAAACAGTTTTTGTACTGGATAATATGTGCTAACATTATAGTGGAAAAAAACATCTAGGGAAAGTCATACACTGGTATGTGCTTCCCTGGTAAATTAGTGTATTCCATCTCTCGTGGCAAAGTGGAGAGTAAACCATACATACACACACACACAGGTTGCTGAGCCCCTTCAGATAAATGTAATCAGAATCTCTCGGGGAGAAGCTAGTACAAAGTTTTAAGCTCCCCAAGTAATATGAATACAGAGTCAAGGCTTAAGAATCACTGTATTAAATACCTACCTTACAGAACTATCATTATGCTGAAAAGATACTATTTTGGGAGAACACATTGCACAGCAAGTGATATTTATGGATTTTATCATTAACAAAGAGATTATAGCTAGTGAATATTAATTTAAAAATTTTCCATAATGTGTATAAATCTTAGAAGGCAAAAAGGTGGTGGAGAGAATGGCTATATGACCTGAAAGAGTATCTCGAGCTACCATAATACAACTTGGGAAATCAAAACCCTCAGATTGGAAGGACCTAAGGGATCAGCTCGTTCACCCTCCTGCCCAGCTTACCCAATGTGTCTGAGGGTGGCTCCAAGGCCCTAACCCCAGATTTTTCTCCCTTTTATTCACTGTCAGCAGGTGGAGCAACAATCTCTGTGGTCATCACCTGTGTGTGTCTGCACCACCCCTTCACGCTCTCCTGTTTTACATGCCCTGGACCAAAGGGGCCTGGATCCCAGAGGAGTCTAGATCCTGGAGAAACTCATTAAGGACAAAATAATTACAGGATGTCTCTAACACAAATTGTCTCAGAGTCCTGGGGCAGTCACTGATGACATCCACTGATCACAGCTGACTATACTTTCAGGAAAAGTAGGTATGGAGTTAAACTCACATATGGATGCTAGATCATTGCCTGTTTGGGGAATGGATCATAGTTTTGTGTGGCTGGAGTTTACATTTTAGGAGGTGTAAGAGAATGAATGAAGAAACCATAAAGGTATGCAGGGACCAGACGGTGAATGTCCTAAGATATCTTACTAATGTTGGAGTTTAAAGTTTATCCCATGGGCAACAAGAAGCTGTCATTGATCTTTAAGCAGCATACCACCATGAAAAGATAAATGTTTTGGAAAGATTCTCAGGGAAGCAGAATCTCTTACTATAAGCCAGCTCCCCATGTGGCACTAAACAGATTGCAAAAAGACACTTATTTACAGTGTGACAGCTGAAAGAAGAAAGCGTCATCTTGTTTAGCCTGAAGTTGCATGTCAGGTAACTCAAATTTTGCATCACTGCACAGACCATGTCTGTTAATGGTCATGAATGTACTGCTGGTGTTGAGTTTGTGGTTGCAAACAAATTTAGTAAGTAGCTAAATTCACAAATACAGAATCTGTGAATAATAAAGATCAACTCTACTTTACAGATGAAATTGAAAAGTTTGCCCAATAACACAACTCTTCCAAAACTGATATGAGAGTAATACAAATGTTTAACGGCTTTACATCTATTAAAGACATTAAATCTATTATAAACCTATTGTGTCTATGTTCATGAGGGATATTAATCTGTAGTTTTTTGTTTGGCTGGTTGGTTTTGGCCTTTGGTTTTTGTATAAGGGTAAAAGCTGGCCTCATAAAATGAGTTGAGAAGTATTTTCTCCTCTTTTATATTCTGGAAGAGTTTGTACAGAAATAGCATTATTTCTTCCTTAAGTGTTTCGTATAATCAGCTAGTAAAGCCTAGTACTTTCTTTGTCACAAGGGTTTTAACTACAAAATCATTTCGCTAGCAGATAGGACTATTCAGGTTGTCTATTTCTTTGTGAGTGAGCTTTTGGTGGGTTGTGTGCTTCAACAAATTTATCCATTTCCTCTAAACTGTAAAATGTGTGGAACAGAATTTTTCATGATATTCAGTTATCATGACTTTAAGGTTTGTAGCAATCTATAGTGATGTCCCTTCTTTCTTTCCTGATATTTAGATTTCATATATTTTTTTCTCTTGATAAATCTGACTAAAGATGTATATATTTTGTATAGTTTTTCAAACAATCAGCTTTCTATGGTTTTCTGTTTTCATTTCTCTGCTCTCAATTTCATTTATTTCTGTTCTTATCTTTCTTATTTCCTTTCTTCTGCTTAATTAGTGTTTAATTTAATTCACTTATCTTTCTCTAAGTCCTTAAATTACAAGTTTAGACCATTGATTTGACCTTTATTCCTTTGCAATACAAATATTTGTTGCTATAAATTTCCCGTTAAGTACTGTTTTAGCTGCAAACCACTAATTTTTATATGCTGTCTTTCCATTTTCATGCAATTCAAAATGTTTTACCATTTCTCTGGTGATTTCTACTTTGACTCATGAGTTATTTAGAAATTTCTTCTTTACTTTCCAAATATTGGGTTATGCCTGCTACATGCCAAATATAAAAATCACTTCCAGGTGCATTACTGATCTCTATGTGAAAGATTTCCCAATAGAAAAGGGCAATAAACATTCTAGAATATACCCATGTGTGTCAGCGTAGAATTATGCTTCATAGGATTTGGGGTTTTGTTTGGTTTTTTTTTTTATTATTATTATTGTGATTTGGGTGAAAGTTTACAGAGAAAATTCACTTTCCATACCGCAGCTCACATACACTTTGTCTCATGATATTGAATATAATTTCCCACAATGCAACAGCTCCGCTCCCACTTCTTCCCCATAGTTACCTCTTCCCTATGTCCTTCCCTCCCATGCACTCCTGCCTGTCTGAGCTGTCTCTCTGTGCAGACACAGGCCTTCTATTCTCCATGCATCATAGGGTTTTAAATGGCTGAATTTCAAATTAAATCACTCAGCCTTTCCTGTGGGGAACCTCTGGGTGGACTCCAACCTCCGGTCTTTCAGTCAGCAGCTCAGGACCTTCACCATCCAGGGACTCCTCAAGAAGATAACACAGAAGAATACTGTCCGAACCCTGGGATAAAGGAAAATTTTAGTACAAACTAATGAGAAGCACTAAATATAAAGAGAAGGATTGGCAAAAGGAAATACTTTAAATTTGAAAAACTTCTATCATAAAAACAC